TGACAACTAATTCTGTCCTCTCTGAACACACATCTGCTGCCAGGGAGGAGTGGCGTGTGGCCACGAGCTACAACTTTTATTTTCTGCCAGTTCAGGGACTGAAAAAAAGAAACTTGATAATATTTTATTTAAGAAAACACCCTAAGAAGTTGAAAAAATAAGCTGATTATTTTTTAGCAAAAAGAAGCTATCCCCACCATGTGTAAAGAGCAGTCAGATTGGGCAGAAGGTCCTTCAGCCTGAAAGCCTCATGGCACAGGGAGGTGAAGTCAGTCAATGGAGAAATGCTGTGTGGACATCGGCAGGGGCACAGAAGTCATTGTGCTCATTAACGGCCACATCAGGAGCTAGGCTTTAGGCTTAATAGCAAGGGTTTGTTTCTAAAGGCACCTGCAAAATTACTGTAACTATGCAACTTAAACACACACCAAGACCACCTCAGCTTTTAAGTACAGAAGCTGCAGTTTTTCCCTTGGCTGTTACACATTTGCAAGAAGCCAGCAAAACGCCCTGCGAGCACCCGGCACGCACCACCCTCCCGCCCGCCCCCACAGCAGTAAGGAGAGAACATGGCAGCTTCACGTTTCTCTCTCTTCTCCAGGGAGTGATGACTCGGCCCCACGGCGGCGCACCATGCGGGCTGGGCACCACCGTGCAGGCCCACAGCGCCACTGCGCTCCGGAGGAGCCCCCACGCGCACTCCAGCGCTCAGCATTAGAAGAAAGTGTTACCGTTGGCAGGAAGGTAGGTGAAGTGCTGGTACTGGCTTCTCTTCCTCTTCCCGTTGCAGACGTAGAAACTGACTTGCACGGGGCTGGTTATTCTCTGATTGCGAAAAGGCGGTATCTCAACCACCAAAGAGTTCTGGTGAGAAAATGGCAGACAGGAAGGAGACGATTAGCATGGGACAAATAAGGAACGCTCTGCACACCACGGCTCCTGGGCTACCCTTCTCACCATGGGCAGACCCTCTGGAGCGGTCCCCAGCCGGTACCCGACTGAACACACAGCAACTTAGAAGCAGCCACCACAGGGTCGGAGACATGCATGTGTAAGCAGGTTGGCCAACACATGTTTGCTCACGGGGAAAGACTGTCCTTGACCTTGTGTGTGTCTAGAGGCTGAGACCTTTACGGTGGAGCTGAGCCAACTTGGCCCAAGCGAGAACTGTGAACACATGTGACGGGGAGGCCCACCTGAGTGCTGAGGCTGCCTCGTGCCTCCTGGGCAGGGAAGGGTCCTCAGGAGACCCCAGAGGCTTTGGCCCTAGCACCAAAAGGTCAGCAGGCTTCAGAAAGCGCTATTGTCTGCTTCGTGGAAGGAAGCACCTCACGGTGTCGCAAGCACCTGTTCAGGTGTCCCCAGTGAAGCGTGGGGGAGGGGCGTTCCAGGGAGCACACATGACGACGGCCACACCCGGTCAGACTTCCAAATCCCACAGACACTGAAGACCACCAGCAAACGCGGGGCAGAGGAGATGGTTAGGAACACAAAGGGACTTGCACCACATACGGTGGTGGCTGTTACCTTGTGTTTTTAAAATAAAAATGACCACCGTTTTACAAAAACCACGCTCTTTCAAGTACAGATATAAAAAACAGGCTGTGGGGTAGCATGCTACCGTGCAGGAAAATCACGGCTGGGGTCGGGGTGGAGGCTGGGCCCTGAGCCAATCACGTGCCGGTAGGGTGCAGACACCCCTGGCATGGCCCACGCTCCAGGGTTGTGCTCGATTTCTGGGCGATTCCGCATCCATGAAGTTTCTGCAGTGTTTTTTAATCATAGGATTTCAGCTTGACAAGTAGATAAAATTTGTAAGAAAAATCTATTGTATGACTTCTTTTGTTAAAATAATTAATTGTAGCTCATTACCCAGTATAATAGCAAAATTGATTGAATCGTGTTAATAAAAATATTAAAGAGTTTTTTTTAAACAGAAAACTTAAGGGAACTCCAGACCCAACCTCTTCCATTTACAGGTAGAAAAACTGAGGCACAGAAGCCTGCGGCTGGGGGCCACAGACCCAGGGCCCGAGGGCACCCACGAATCCAAGTCACCCGTCTGTGTTGTTTTATTAGCTTTGTTTTATTTGGAAGAAGAAACAGACTACAGGTGTCCTCCCAATGGAGCATTTCATCCCCGCATCCAGAGCTGCCTGGAGGTGCACAGGAGGGCGACTGCGGGCACGCACTGAGCGCTCGGCCGTGTGGCCTGCACTGCAGGTCTGGCTCCTGTCGGCACGGCCCAGGCGTGTGACAGGGAAGCCCTGGTTTCCTTCATCTGTATGGGGACAGGAGGAGAGGTGCCTTGGGGAGACGCCACCCAGTGGGGCTGGTGCCGGCCCCAGCAGCCAGGAGTGAGCGACGGCGAGAGCCTAAGCTTCTTGGGAGGAGACAGAAGGTGACGCCGTGCAAAAGCTGAGCCTGAAAAGAATGAGCCGGCGAGGCTTCCACGTTGCGGGCTGAGGACGGCTGAGGCTGGGGCCAGGTTTTGTGAATCCTACATGATCGGAGGGCCGTGTCTCAATGCGGACACAGGCCGGTCCACTTCAGTTCTCTGAATAGACAAGTTAGGTGACAAACGCGTGATCTCTGTGGGAGTGCTACCACTCAAACACCCGGAGAGAGAGGAGACAGGAGGAACGTAAAGGAAAATGAGTGACACCCCGGAGGAGCGAGGACGTGTGGCACCAGCACATTCTGGGATGCGCTTTAAGAAAGTTGATGTCTTAATGGAGTTCATACACTCGACTGTCGACAGCACATGAAACACAGCCAACCCCATTTGTTTAAAAAATAAATCCAACATGCTGTACGTGTGCGCACGTGTGCGTGTGTGCTGAACGTCTGCACACGCACGATAGAACATGCGTGAAAGACACACACCAGATGCCAACAGTAGTCACGGATCTACGTGGCAAGACTAGACTAGGTTTTATTGGTACTTTTTGTATTTTCCTAATTCCCATAAAGAACATGACATTCTTTTATAATTAGAAAAAATATATACGAAGGTAAACCTCATTGAAGAGATAAAAGACTAAAATGATAAAGTGTGATTTTTCAGATGTACTAGTAAATTTCCTTACAACATGACTGTTAACCGTTAAGTCCCCTTTGAAATATGCAATTGTTAAAAGTAAGAAAGGAAATTACTGAAGATGTGAAGCTGCCAACTTGGCCAGAAGTGTTTTCAATGCAGAAGGGCTCACAGTTTCTCCCAGCCTCTTCCCCCTACCCAGGGGAGGGTGGGCAGCGGCCTGGGTTCCACAGCAGCACCCACGTGGGGACAGGCAGAGCCGAGGCCAGAGCCGCTGCCCGGTGGGTGGTCGGAGGGCCCTGGGTTTTGTGTGACCAGCAGGAAAGCAGTGAAAGATGACCAAGAGGGGAGAGAAAAGGAAGCCACTGGCCCACCCAGCCGGGGAAGAAGCCTGTCACTGACACCAGGGACCAGAGACACCATTTCCCTTGGGCCTTGTGCCACCAGGGGCTGGGCTGCTAGGAACAGCCCTGGCAGCAGGAGCCTACAGCCATCCTGCATGGGGCCTCGGGGACAACAGGGCTGTCCGTTGGTGGCCTGTGGGATAACGTTCATGACAAGCCCCAAGCTGCTGCTTCTGCAGCGTTGCAGGCCAGGAGTCTTCCTTGGGAAGCCACCCTGCCCTGGGGCCTCAGCACTCCCTCTGGGGCTTCTCAAGTGAAGACAAGAAAAATGATCGAACAGAGTGGGCGCCTGTGTGTCTGAGGCGTGCTCTGGAGGAGGCCTGGGCACTGCCGGGGTGAGATGAGTCACCTCCTGCATACGGGCTGCACCCAGGGCCAGGGAGGAGCCATGTCCGTCTGACAACCACTGGACAGGCTTCTGCTACATGGCTTTGTGCTCACAAAAGGAGCTTACCATAGTGTAAAGATGCCTGTTTTTGATAGAGCCGCCCACGAGGAGAGGGACACCGACTGTCCTGTAGCAAATGCGCAACAGAGAGCCTCGAGAGCGGGCGTGACGCTGGCGCCTTCCCTGTGGGAGCCTTGACTTTGATAGAGCCGCCCACGAGGAGAGGGACACCGACTGTCCTGTAGCAAATGCGCAACAGAGGGCCCCGAGAGTGGGCGTGACGCTGGCGCCTTCCCTGTGGGAGCCTTGACCTCCCTTCAGCTGAAATGACGTCACCTGGCTGGCCACAGCAAGCCCCACCACCCAAGGTCCCTGTTCACATGGGCCACTGTGCCATGTCTAGTGGTGGCCTAAGAGAAAATAAGTCCTTGCCTGAATGACAGTTGTGAGTGATTCAGCCTCCACGTTCGTAAGACGCACTGTCCAGACACCTCTCTAGTCATCAGGGGAATGAACTACAGAGCTGGGGAGAACCCTGAACATCTTCAAAACACCACTGCCGGCCATAATGTATTTTATGTTGGCCTAAAGACCCTTACTGGTTTTCTAGGACTGAGTAGAACACTAAAAAAAATTTAATGATAGATTATCCAATTATATCAATAATCACTTTAAACATCAATGGTCTAAATACAACAATGAAAAGACACATACTGTCAGAGTGGATCAGAAAACCAAGACCCAGCTATATGTTTTCTCCAAAAAACCCACTTTAAGTATAAAGACACAGGTTAATAGAAAGACATACCATGCTAACACTAATCAAGAGAAAGCTGGAGTAGCTGTATTAATTTCAGATAAAAAAAGTTTCCATAATTAACCGATCAAAGAAAAACAATTATTCTCAGCTACCGACCTTGTGGAATGGTACCAAGAGCTGGGATGGGTGAAGCGCATGAGGGCAGACGTGCGTGTTGTGCCATGGACAGTGCCACACACCTGCCACGCTCACTGTGGCCTCCACACAAGTCCACCGACTCATCAGCAAATCAAACAAGCGGATCTGAGCGAGACGATCAGGTCTCTCCTCACATCTACGTCAGGCTCACAACAAGAGTCTGCAAAACCGTCAGGGCAGCATGTCCAGAAAGGTGCTGGCACCTACTCAGGGGCTCCAGACACTGTGGGACCCCAGAGGCAGCACCTGTGTGGGGCCTGTGCAGGTGACAACTGAAAGCAGGAAGGCCACAGTTCCTGCTTGACCTCTCTTTTCAGGGGTGTTTAAGTGCTGGGCCCATGGACCCGTGTAGCCCCTGCTTTCTGGTTTTGTTGAAAACAATCGGGGGTGAAGGGGCCTCAGGCCCTGTCCAGCCTCTTACCTTCTGTGGCCGCTTGGCTGGCCTGATTCTCCACATTATTTTGCATAAAATAGCACCTGTTTCACTCGGCCAGTGTGTGACGTGTATGTTACCACCTGTGCTGGGCTCTATCTACTGTTTTGTTAGTTATTCACATTAGCAAGTGCACTCGGCCTCCTGAGGCCCTCAGGGCTCAGGACACGACACTCACCGGCTTGCACAGCTCTCTGTCCGTTTTTGCTTCCATCTCCCAGACGTGGTGGCCATCTGGAAGAAAGAAGTGGGAGGACGTTTGTCACTTTATGTGGCGGGAGCCCCATCCCTCAAAACCTCCTGAGACCAGGCGCACGGGCACAGAGCCAGCAGGGGACCCTCTGCAGCCAGCCTGGGGTGTCGCCAAGGGCAGCCTGGGCCCGCTGGGAACAGCTCGTTTGCCGGGCTGACAACATGCGCTGGCCCGGCCTACATACAACGCCAAACTTGTGCTGCACACATCAGCCTCAGGAGCCCAAAGACACCGGGCCAGGGTGCCTGACTGTGGCCGTGGGAAGGAGTCCCAGTCCGGCGAGTGCCCTCAGAAACCCGTCCCCAACCTACATCCACAGGCATCTCAGCAGTGCCAGCACGAGCCCTGAGAGGGTTCCCACTCCTCCCACCTTTCCCAGGAGAGACACCAGCAACGCCAGCGACCCCACCGCCCAGTAAATGCTGCTGGGCGACACCGCCTGTGCCTCGCGCCCTGCGAGGACATGGAAAGCACGGGAGCGATGCCTCTCACGCCACGGGCAGGCTCCACGCTACCTGCATTTGGGAGCGGGAGTCACTCCAGTGATCGAGGCCCAGCCTCGGGTCCCCTACTCAGAGGAACAGCTGGTGAGTAAGCAAAGCCCTTCCTTGACTCCTGCTTGCCACATCAGGACTCAGAAATGCAAAACACACGGTATTTTTAACCTCACCCCACGGGCTGTTTGCATTTTGGCTCCAGAGGAGCAGTGAAAGGAGCCATTGTTCTCCAGCCTGCCAAGGTGTGGGCTCTTGCCGGACCACGCGAGGATCTGGCCACAGGCTGGGGTCTGCAGGTCCCTCTGCTGGACACACTGTCCTAGGACTAGTTTGGGTAATTATTTCCAATTAATGGCTGATTATTTTGAATTAACAGATGTCAGTCTCCTATTGAGGCCTCTTTTCATCTCCATCTTCCACCTTTTCCAAAATAAAGTCAGGTCCCAAGATGAACAACGGTGTTCATCATACAGACACTTAGTGTTTTCTCCTGCTCCGTTTGCAAAGGAAATGTGCCTCTTCTGCAAACCCCATATTACTGATAAATTAGACAGAATCTCCCTTTTCTCTCTCGCAGTGCCAGCTGGGCAGGGGTGGAGGGAGGAGGCATGAGTCACACGCAGCCCCAAGGGCCATCCGCCATGCCAGCGCCACACCAGCCTCTCGGGACGCCCGACATCCCACGCCAATTACCCATCAGATGAACCCACTCAGTGACAAGACGCGGACTGGCCCCAGGGATCAGCGTCCTCTCCTCCCAGAAAAAAAGTAGCAGGAAACTAAAACTACACTCAGTTGCTCTTAGATCTGGAGTTGCACAAAGCAGCAAACCTTCCAGGCTCTAGTGAGCTCAGGAACTTTGGCAAGAGAAGCATTTTTAACTCCAGCCACATGTGCTGCTGAAGACAGGAGGCCTCGCTGTGAGCTGCCACATCTGTGCGGCCCCTGGGCCCGGCCCAGCCCAGCAGCCAGCCTGGCCCTCCCCCAACAAAAGTGCAGGAGCAACACAGACCTCTCGAAAATGCACGAGTCGAGTTACAGACACAACACAAAGCGAGAGCAGACACAGACATTCCCATTGTGAGTTCAGCTCTTTGGAACCACCAAAACACACACGCCACTTTCAAACCCCTGGCTCCCCAGCCACCCTGGGGAGGGGAGGAGGACACCTCCTTGGACACTGGCCCCGCTTTTGCCCACGGCCTTCCCGTATCTGTGGTTGTCCCACAGCCGGAGGAGGGCAGGCATCATGAACTAAATGTCATCTTTCAAAGGCAAGCACACATCAGACATGCGTCCAGCAACTGTCTCAGGGATGCGACAGAGGCCGAGGCTGTGGAGGATGCCTAAGAGCTCGCAGTCCTCGGGGAATGATGAAAGTGGCCCTGTGTGCTGCTGCCATCAGCGGCAAGGACCTCCCTCCCGCACAGTGCCCGCCACAGGGGCAGGGCTGGCCTGGCTCTGCTCCAGCCCCCGCCGGGACGCCGGGACGGGAAACGCCAGCCCTGAGAGGCCTCTGTGCTCGGTCTTATCGCGAGCTCCCTGGCTTCTCCGTAGGAAACTCTGCCCGAGTCCAGAAGCAAAAATATTCCAAATCATTAGGGAATTCCCTGCAGCATGAGTCATGGGGAAGGCTTCCCCGCCACACCCTGCGGAGGTTTCCACACAGACGGCCGCGGCCGGAGGCGCAGGCCGAGCACAGAATCCTGGCGGGCCAGGCCCCCGTTCCCAGGCGAGGGTGTCCTTGGGAGTGGCCTGTCCTCCCCGGGGTGGGGCAGAAGGCCTTGTGCCCCCACGCCTGGGCCTGCGCCCACGTTGGCTCCACCGAGCAGAGAAATCCCAACAGTCCGACCTCGTGAGGGCACATGGCCGTGGGGCAGAACAGAGCCCACGGCCAAGCACGCAGATCAGAAAGACCCCTGTGTGAGCATGCACTGGCCCCAGGCCCCTGCAGGTGGCATCTCTGCAGCCATCGAGCGACACGCAGATGCCCGCCCTGCCTCCTGGTCTGTCTGTTGGCCTCGGGAGCGTGGTTCAACGCTTGTGCACAGACATTTACAAGGTGACTACTGTTCACTGGATGCTCCTGCTTTGGATGGTCCGGGAATCAACTCCTGACGTGGACCGTGAGAGCTGGAGACGAGTTGGAGCTGGGTGGTGAGCTCACATGGAGCTGTCCTCCCGGCCTCTCCGGCCTCTCCCATGTCTCTCCCACAGCTCCGGCTCGAGGGCCGCCCTGCGTGGAGGCATGATCTCCTTCTGCCTGGCCTTCCCCAGCAAGAGATTCTAGAGGAAAAGGTATCCAGATGTTTCAGAAATCCACCGGCAGGTTCTCAAATGTTAAATGCAGAGTCACTGCGTGACACAGCAATTCCACTCCTAAGTTTGTGCCCAAGAGAAAGGAACACGCGTGTCCACACGGACACTCCACATGGATGTTCACAGCAGCTCTGTCCATGATAATCACTGAGAGGACACAGGAGCACAGCCCACGTGTCCCCACTGGTGAGTGCACAAACACCGCACAGAGGGATGTCATCCAGCCACGAAAAGGCGAGGCACGGGTAGGCGTCGATGGACCTTGAAAACATTAAGTGAGAGAAGCCAGATGCGAAAGACCCCTGGTGACTGGCAGATGCAAAGCTCCTGGAACAGGTGGGGCCGGAGTCGGTGTGTGTGTGGGGGAGGGGGGGTGGCTCGTGGGTAGAGGGTTTTTTCCCAACTGACAAAAATGCTGTGGAGTTAGTGGGGATGGTTGCAAAGCCCTGAGAATGTACCCAAAACTACCTAAAACGAGTGAGTTGAGTGTTGTGTGGATTACATCTCAACGAAGCTGATATAAAAGGAAATATCCAAGGCAGCTCATGTGCTGTCACCATATGTGACCCTGAAACACTTGTGGGGTGAGGATTGAAGCCCAGCCCCTCCTCTGTGGTGAACCTGCTGCTGGCTCTGTCTTGAAATGGGGCTGGGGGCACATATGGCCTGTTGAGCTCTGCAGCCCAGTCCCACGCTCCCCACCGTGCGTGAGGACAGTAGTCGAGGTCTGGCCGGGGGCAGGACTGGAGGAGACAGAGGTGCTGGGCCCACACTGTCCTGCCTGCTGACTCCTCCCCCAGCAGGAAGCCAGGATCAGCTCCCCAGGCCCTACCTGACATTCTCCACCGGGTGGTCCCCGGGCCGGGGGCTAGGATGATCAGGCTGAGCTCCCTGTGAGGCCAGGACCCCACAAAGGAAGCAGCTCCCACCAGGGTCTGGGCTGCACGACCCCTGCCCAGCCACCGGCAGCCCATTAGGGCCCACGTCTCAGGCCGGCCTCCAGCATAACTGACTTTTTCTGAGTTTATTTCCTCCTAAGACTATTCAAAATTCTGTTTAAGTGGAGAACTGTGGGATGATCATTCAATTCCAAGGCCAGTAAGAAAAAAGTGTTAAGACAAGAGGTATCCTAGCCCACAGTTTTTTTGTACTCACTGGAGTCAGGGAGATTCCAGAACAATCCATCCCAGGCATGGCTGCAGGGCACAGCAGGGGTGCTGGCTGTCTCTGCCCCATGTACCCCCAGACACCCCCCAGGTTTTGCTGAGTGGCGCACACAGGGGGTCACCCTGAACTCTTCTGTGATGTCGATGGCCAGGAGCAGGAAGAGAGGAGGGTGCTTCCCAATGTGATGTCATGATTTCAGGGTGTGAGCAGCCTCCACCACCAGCAGCACCAATGCGCCCAACGGCGTCCATGCCTAGGCAATTTCCAGAATCCTCCAGGAGACCAGCATGGCTCCAGGAAGCAGGTGACCAGCAGAGTCCCCAGAGGTCCCTCGGCACAAGGGAGGGGGACCAGGGGAGGTAGTGGGCAGGCCACCAAGAGATCCTACCACTGGCATGTTCACCCCGTGAGCTTCAGTTCCATCGCCAGGGCGGCAAAACGTGATCCCCTCTTGGCTGGCTACCCCCAGGTTCCACAGCCACCAGCAGTGGAAAGAGCAGCAGGAAATCTCAGAGAGCTTGAGATCTCCCCGGCGGCCCGCCAGGCACGGTGTGCACAGCAGGGGCCAGTGCCCTCCCCACGGTGCTGAAAAGGCACACGCTCCACACGCATCCACCCCATGCACTCATACATGCACACACGTGTACACACTCCACAGTGCTCCACATGCATCCACCCCATGCACTCACACACGCACACGTGTACACACTCCACACATGCTCCACATGCATTCCTCCACATGTGCTCTCACACACTCACATGTACATGCTCTACACGCACATCCACCCCATGAACTCATACATGCACACACGTGTACACACTCCACACATGCTCCACATGCATTCCTCCACATGTGCTCTCACACACACACATGTACATGCTCTACACGCACATCCACCCCATGAACTCATACATGCACACACGTGTACACACTCCACACATGCTCCACACGTATCCACCCATGCACTCCAAGAAGGCATGTGCTCCACATGCATCCA